GCGCGGCCCTCGGGCCCCCGCTCGGTGCCCGGCCGCAGGCCTCCCGGGGCTCGAGCGCGGCACGGCCCCCGTCGGCCGCCGCCATGGCCCTCAAGATGGTCAAGGGCAGCATCGACCGCATGTTCGACAAGAACCTGCAGGACCTGGTGCGCGGCATTCGCAACCACAAGGAGGACGAGGTGAGCCGGGCCCGCCCTCCCTCTCCAGGCCACGGTCACCCGGCCTGAGACCCGCTGCCCCACCCGGGGGGCCCGCACCCCGAGCAGCGGCTCTCACACTCCCGTGTGCATCGACAGCCTGGGCCTTGCCGCTGCGTGACCTCCCAGCCCAGCCTCAGTTTACCCCTTCGGACTTTCAGGTCCGCCCCTCCCCCTCCGGGCGTCCACACAGCTTGAAGGCCGCCCCGGAACAGATCTTGCAGGTCTCGGTGCAGCGGGTCTCCCGCCTGAGTGTATTTCGGGATCGTCAGATCAAAGTGCAGGCTCCCGGACCCCGCCCCAAGGCTCTGGACGCCTCCTTAGGGGATCCTCCTTGTTCGCAGCACCCCTCGAGGGACCAGGGCAGGGATCTGCCGGGCGCCCCCCCCCGGAAATGCTCGGGTCCCGGTTACTCCCGGCTACCTCCCCTGGGCACGTCTCGAGCCTTTGCCCCCTGGACCGGTGTTCTAGGGAAGGTGGGGCTGCTGCTGGGGCGGCCAGCATCCGAAGCCGAAAGGGGAAGCATTTGATGGGGGTCCAGGAATGGGGAAGGAGAGTTCAGACAAAGCCGGAGCCGCCAGAGTTTTCCAGAAGTAAAAATATAACCGTGGGCATCATTTCCTTCCTTTCTCTTCCACCCCCATCCTGTGACCTAGATTAAGGAAGAAGTGGGACAATTAGTGGCTGCTGTGTCTCCAAGGGCTGGCTTCATGGAGGCATTTGGTGCAGTGACTGCCTGGTGGGCACATTGAAAAACGTCCCGGGTGTATTTCTTCCTGAATCCTCTGGCTGGAGAGATAGGTGGTCCCCGGGGAAAAGCAGCTGTGTGACACCTTCGTGCAGGTCCCAGTTTGGATGGGATCTGGGTGCTCCTCACGGTGGCTCTGTGAGGTTCCTTTGTTGCAGGATGTAGGAACTTGCTTTCTGCCCAGGTCCCTCTGGAACCTGAGTTCTTGCCACTTGGCTCTTTGCACTTACTCAGCATTGGTGTGACCACAGTGAAATGTAATTAGGTTATTTTAGTTGATTTCTATTAACCCCTTCCCTTCACTGTGCCTAAGCCTTCCTTTTGCATTACATTAGCAGCACTCCTTAGCGGCTTTGGTTACATTGTATAACTAGTTTTTCAGTTTCTTTTTGAGTTGAAACAGTAACTTTGGGGTGGGTATTTATTTACTGAGAGTAACTGATTCAATTTGAAACATGGTTTGAGTGCTGAATTTGATTTTTAGCAGGTGCATGGAAAGAGGCCTGGCAGTCTGCTTCTGGAAAGCAGACAGCCAAGAAAATCCCTGAGCAGCCTATTCTGGAATTCTAAAGAGAGGTGGCGGCTTTGTCGTGGTGGCCACACGCTGTTAAGGGGGCTGCATGGCCTGATTTTCAAAGGTGGTGTGCTCCTCAGCCCTGGGAAGTACCCTGAGCCTTGGCGTCTTCACTGGGAATTGGTTTGACTTGCGTGGGCCTTCCTGACAGGATTGGAGGATTAGGCAGGGGCAGTGGTGATGGAAAGGCTGGGGTAGAATATTCACCTGCCATGAGGGAGACCTGGGTTCGATTCCTAGCCACTGCACCTTCTGTGCAGCAGCCCCCTCGTGTGTCAGTGGAGGCTTACGTGTCGCTGGGATGCTGGACAGGTTTCAGCAGAGCTTCCAGACTAAGGTGGTCTAGGAAGACAGGCCTGGTGACTGACTTAGGAAATCAGCCATGAAAACCCTATGGATGATGGCGGCCCAGCTGCACCCCATCCTGGGGCTGGCACAGGGCTGGGCGTTGTTGTGCATGGGGCCGTCATGAGCCAGGAGCTGACTGAACAGCAACTGACAGCAGCAAGTGGTGATGGGTGTGTTTTCAAGCAGCACAGGGTCAGGGCACAGGGTTCTAGGTGGGCCCTACCGTTGACTGGTAGGTGATTTCTGCCTGCCAAAGTTTCCCGACCAGAAGAGCACTTTCGTAACCTCTGGGCTGGGCTCCGAGCTGCCCGTTATCTTGGTTGACATTTTCTGGGCACCATTGGGGCGCCCAGGCACCTGGGTGGTGCAAACGATTCGTGCTCGGCCGCTGACCAGAAAGATTGGCGTTTGGACCCACCCAGCAGCACAGTGGGAGAGAGGCCTGGTGATCTGCTCCTGTCAAGATTTGCTGTGAGTCGAAATTGGCTCAAGGGTACCTGAGGAACGACAGCTCTGAGTCCCTCAGTTTGAGGTCCTTTGTTATGGCAGCCCTAGGAGACTCATGCAAGTGTCATTTTGAAGGAGTAGGTTTGTGGCAAGGGTATTTGCGGGGGAAGAAATTTTCAGTTAGTAACAAAAAGTTAAGGGCATATTTTGTAATTAAAAAGCAAATTAAGATTAGGAAAAGTTTTCCCTCAAATATGAAAAGCCCCTGGAGAATAAAATCTTGAGTCATTGTCTTGGTTTCTAGTCATGTGTGAGTTTTATAAGCAGGGGACATTCCTCAGTGGAGCTCCACCCACATGCTGACAGTACCCTCGTGCTACCTCAGGGATTACACTGCATCCCAGAACCCCAGGAGCGTGCAAATGAGGCCCCTGTTCTCTAAATGTTTGGGGTATGTTTTAGAACATGTTTTATGTGGTGACCCAGTGCACGCATGTACACTTGCAGACTCACGCACAGAAACAAAAGTTTTAAGAATCAATAACTCTAGTGCGTGGAATATGGTTTTCTTTGGTTCTTTTTCAAACATCGCCCTTTGCACTGAATTCACAACTCACTGAGGAGTTGCAGTCTGAGGTTTGGACAACAAGCCACACCGTTTCTTACAGTCTCTGGCATTTGCGAATGGCTTTGTGTCCTGTCACTTCATCCTCACAGCTACTCAGTAAAGTAGGACAGGGGCCCTCACCCCCACTTGACAGCTGAGGAGGCAGCATCGGAGAGGTCCAGGCATTCTCCCAGGGTCACCCAGTTCATGAGCCCAGGAACTTGAACTCCCGTCTCCCAAACTTCGTGTGATAGACCTCCACTCAGGCATACCATCTTTACACATGGCTTCTGAAGTCATTTCTGATCCTTATCTCTGTGTTGCCACACACAGGTTTTAAATCTATTATACCAAATAACTTTTTCTTTTTAATTCTTGGAAACCACATTGTGTGCAGTCTGGAAGTGAGGAGGAAGAGCCTACCACGGTCTTCCTTTTCAGTTGCAGCCAAATGCTTCACCCTTGGAGCCACCAGGGCTCCCTGTGTGACTGGGAAGAACAGAAATCCAGTGTCTCACTGGAGATGAGTCCACTCGCGGTGTCGGCTCTCAGGTGATCTGTCCCAGCCTCTCCCAGTCTCTTGTGACGACCAGCGAGCCTTGGTGTTCCTGGTCTTGACCCTCTAGCTAGTGCTTTGTCCTCAAAGACCTGCCTTCTTGCCTGGAGCCCCCCAGCATCTGGGCTGTCCTTGTGTTGTCTCTGTGTTGGGGCAGCCTGTCCCTCAGCAGCCATGGAGGCTGTGACCGCCTGCCTCCCTGCCCCACATCCTGCCAGTGCCCCGAGGGACTGGGTGTCTGAGGGGTCCCTCACAGATATCCTGATCCCCAGAGCTTGTGAGTGCTACATTAGAGCCGTAGGGGTTTTGCTGGTGGGGCTGTGTTAACTGTCTCAAGGTGGAGATGGTCCTGGATTAGCTGAGTGGACCCTAAACACAGTCATAGGCATCTGACAAGAGGGTCCCAGTCAGAGGAGGAGATATGGCCGAGGAAGCGAGAGGTAGAGGTTGGAGCACACAGTGTCCTGTGACCTCAGGTGGCTGGGGGAGACCTGCGGAGCCCTGAGCCAAAGGGTGGGGGGGCTAGAGAAGGCAGGACATGGATTCTCCCCTGGAGCCTCCAAAGGGGACCAGCAGACCCCTCAATTTCGGCACCATAAGACTCATGTCGGACCCCTGAGCCCAGAACTGTGAGGTCACTTGTTTGTGTTGTTTTAAGCCACCAGTGCTCCTGGCTCTGGGGCAGGGGTCCTCACTCAGGGGTGATTCTGCCCCCAGGGTCAGAATTCGTGGTGTCATGACAGAGGAGGGGGTGCTGGCTTCAAGCAGGTGCTCAGCACCCTGCAGTGCGCAGGCTGGCCCGCCCCAGGGTGATCGGCCCCCAGGACGGCAGTGGTGACTTGAAGAACCCGCGGGGTGACCAGTGGTCCTGAGATGAAGACTGAACCTGTCAGAGTGCCCATGTTCTCTTGTCTTTGACTTTAAGTGGGGCAGTTTCACATGGTTCAGCCCAGTGCTGAGCACCAGGTGTGACCCTCAGCTCCTGATGGGGGCCCAGGGGGCTGGGCAGACGCCCTGTTGTCTGCGCACACGTCCTGAGGGCATGGCCCTGCTGACCAGACACAGCTCACACGCAGGGCTGGGGCTGTCCAGGCCCTGCTCTGGGGTTGTGTTGCTGGCTCGCTCTTTACCACAAGCGGAGCTGGGTCCCGGGCAGCTAGTGGCCTCCTTCTGTGTGCTCCTTTTTCTACACACGGGGTTCTCATCAGACCTCAGGTGGCTGGGGGCACGAGCTGTCATTCAGAGCGCCTTCCTCAGACAGCATGGTGGTGTGGTGGTTAAATGCTCTGCGGAACCACGAGGTTATCAGTCTGAACCTCCCAGCAGCTCTGCAGGAGAAAACGCCCGGGATCTGCTTCCCGGAAGGCTGACAGCCTGGGAAGCCCGCAGGGCAGGGTCCCCATGACTTGGAATCTGTTCCACACAGCGTTCTGTGTTTGATTGTTCCTTCCTGGTTGGTTTTTGCCTGGAGGCTTTTGAGAGCTTTCTGGGTTGTAGGGACTCACTGTTGCCTTCTGTGTGACTGCGCGAGGTGGTGTACTGAGACTGAAGGTCGGCAGGGTCTCTGGTCAGCTTTGGCCTTAGCATCCTTTCACCAAAAAACCAAAAACCCACACCAGATGCTGTTGAGGCGACTCCACTCACAGCGCCCCCTTGTGTGTCAGAGAAGAACTGGGCTCCACAGGGTTGTCTATGGCAGATT